ATGGGAGGATTATGAGTATCTGAGCAGTTCTATGCATCAAGCACAGGAAGAGATGCAGGCAGCATCTTCAGAACAAAACTAGAGAACGCAGCATACGTGAAAATCTGTGGCATCAATACAAGGAGCACACCACAAAGATGGCACCTCCTTTTACTTCACACCATGACCCAAGGCCTGGCAGCCTGGCTTTCTACTGCACTTGGAGAGGAGAAACGGGGAAGAAAAGAATGTATATGTAATACTCCAGAGCTTCATTATCTATGTACTCACTGAAGATTCCCATATAACAAAATTACCACTTAAAATGATACTGCACTTTTCTGTTCGTGCCAGTACTTTAAGGAAGGACAAAACATGCTGAAGTACAGTAAATTAACTTGCCTTTGCATCTTTTCTTTTTTTTTTTTCTTAAGTGATATTAAGGCTTGTACTTCCAAAAAGGGCATTAAATAAGGTTCTAGTTCTCCAGGCAGCGTTAGACAAGCATACAGCGCTGCCACCTCCTGGTCCCACAGCAAGAGCCACCCTTCCCCGTTTGACGCACGAAGCAGACTGTGTAGTGTAATGTCTGCATTTGATGCACCCACCAAATGCCTGTGTCTCACGTCCAGTGCAAAAGGTGAGGGTGCATGCAAAGAGTAACTTAAAACGCTCAACTGTGTAAACCAGATTTCTGTCTGTCTGGACAGAAATCAGCCTCAGCTCAAATAAATGTACATTTTATATAGATATCTCTCCTTATAATCCCTTGTAGGTGTATTTTATAAAATGATAGTAAAATACATGACAAACAAAGCAGTTATTTGAAGTATAACATACAGTTTATTTTATTGAATGTGTGTACATACTTATATCTTACATAAAGTTACAGATTACATGAGTAAAGGGGACTGCCCATGGCCATATCTGATGAGCATTTTTTTATTTTAAATCGATTACATCATTGATAAACCCAGTTTTTAATGTATGAACAAATGAATGCTTATGACATAGTTATAAAATAAGCTGTTTAATATGTCTGTTTAAACTTAGAAGATAGTATTTAATATGCCATATAAAAAGAAGAAATATACCTTTCTAAATTATGTAATAACCTATTTCTTACAAGTCTGATATGAAAGGATATAGTATTTTTCCCAACATTACTCTGATATCCACTGTGTAGATACTATGTCTTTTACCACATGCATCTTTCGCATAGTCAAATACGAATACCAAGGGATATCAACTGCTATCAATAATCTGCAATTGCACACAAACCATGACTACTGATTAGTAAAGCAATTATCATATTAAAAGAGTTCAACAGGGCTCAACATACTGTAAAATTAAAAATCAGTCAATACGATGACCATTACATAGAACATCATTGATTGGATGTACTAAATGCTAGCCTTGATGACAATTGATCACAATGAACCCTGCTCACAAAGGAGTCTGGTACACTAATTGAGGAGCCAGAGTTAAATAGAATAATAAATATAGGAGGAGGAGGAGGGGAGAGGAGAAATGGCTACAAAGCTGAGATCCTTCACGTCTATACAGCAACAATAAAAAAGCAATCATCCAGGAAGGCCTCTTTCTCTACCGTATGTGCACTAACTTCTAAGCCTACTTTTCCAAAATCAAATGAACCTGTGAATGCCTCACAGAACATCTCCACAATCTGCACCACAGCTGGGAAACATGCTCAAAAGAGCCTGAGCAATGGGTATTTCACCTCAGCACAAACATTTCCAAAAGTAAATCCTGCAGGGAGGCTAGAAAACCCGGAGGTCCCACCCATGACACATCTGTGACCTATCTCAATTGACCTACTTGAAATCAGGCCTCAAACTGCACACATAACCAAAACATGTCCCTTAGAGTGCCATAAGGTTAAAACCAAACACCAGATAAAGAGCTGCCCAGGCTGCTTTCCTCAGGGCAGGCTGCACAAGGAAGAGTTTGTGTAAAACGCTGGGTTGTGGAATTCAGCACTAACTGCTCACTGTTCTCACTACAGCTTAAGGAAAGGTGTGCAGGTAGAATACAAGTTCAGAACATCTCCCTCATTATCCTGAAAACAAGTTTTCTTCTGACAGTGTCCCCAGCCCCAGGTCAGGAGCAAACAGCATCAAGGTTCTGAAGAAATGAAGCGTCACACTGTCCTCAGGAACATCCCCGGCTTGCTGCCTCTACTGAAATTTAAAATACAAATAAAAGCTCAGAGATCAGACCGCTACCTGATTTTGAAGCAACTACAGGACAGAAGCATTCCTGATTTAGATTTATCATAGGGAAGAGACAGCCTGGGGAAACTGCACGCAACACAGGCTGCCGAAACTTAGAACAAGCACATGCTTTGCTGGTAGTACACCATGACTGATAATAAAAGATCCTGTGTCTGGGATATACAGAGTTATTTCTATGTTTTCGTGTTTTCCTGGAAATAGAGGAGAAATTAAAGATTAATCCCTCGGAATTTAGGGCAACTCAGCAAGGCAGAGTTCGCTATCGCTAACTAGACGCCACTAGATGGCATGCTGCGCACGTCTCCTAATACATGCATGTCCAATTACTGAAACATCTTAAAACAATAGCAAGTCAAGAAAAAGAGGGCTCTCCCAATAACGTAAAGCAGGTCAGCAGAGGTTGGAGAGGGAAGAGCATTTCAGACATTCCCAAAGGTAAGACGTAGCTGTAGAAAAAGACACTTGGAGTCAAGACAATTAGGGACTCCAGCAACAGTTAGCATCACTTAGATGATTCATATGCGGGTATTAGCAAGCAGTACCAAGTTACAAAGCAAGGCTGTGCTTTACAGTGTAGCTCTCTCCTCCAGTGATTAGCCGTATCAGAAGGCCCTCCTATTTTATTTGGAGAAAAGGCCACCCAGTCAATTAAAAGTGCAAGGTCCATTGGGTAAGGACCTGAAGGGCAGACACATTAAGTGGTAAACAGTGGAGGAAGTTTGTCCTCTTGAAGAAGACAGAGCCGCAGGCTTCTCCAAGATGGTGATACATCTTCTCTGTAGAGCTTGAACAGCTAGAAAATTAATAAATAAATTACTTACACTGACAGATTGGGGTGGTTTTTCAAGTTTGGGCTTGTTTTTTTGAGTCCCTGATCCACTGAAATATTCATTCTCTACCATCCAAGCCTATCACTTGGCACAAATTATCCAGAAATAATAACAACAGAGGATAACAGAGGTCAGATCACAGTTTTTCTTTAATTTGTGTAATGCATACAAACAGACACAGGAAGGAATACAGCAAAATCAGAAGACACAGTAGAATTTAAAAATAAGATATATTTTGCTATGACATTGTCCTTGGCTGCAACTAGTTTATCCCACTGTCACACACACAGGCATCAGGGATGCTGTCCCATAGTTCATCAGCGGGACCCTGGAAAGCATCTGTGTGAAAATCACTGCAGGGGCGGAGAGATTAGAGGAAACTGGAGTCTAACAGAAGTTGTAGTATTACAGAAATGTTTTTAGGGCAAAATACAGTTGCCACTTTCAGGACGCTTGGCATGAACGGAATCTGCTCCACCATGGTTCCCTAGGCAAGCCAACCTGCCTGGATGGTACCACACAGCTGATAAACCACATAGCAGTTGTCAAATGAGCAATATAAGAAATGTCTGTTGCTGAGCCAGCAGCTGTGGTGAAATCACTTTCCTTAAGTGAACCTTGCTTGTTATAATGTTGTTGTATTAGCAGCGCACACCTCCACCCCAAAGTTACCCGCCTCCAAGGTACGGCCACCCCTCTCTGAGCACGTGCTTTATATTTTTTATCAGCTACATCTCTAAGAGAAAAGTGAGAGAATTTTACACCAATTAATAATAAAAGAATGGATGACTAGAATCACTCAAGCTCCACCTGAAAGTGAAGTATAGAAGTATAGAAGAGGGGAGGAGTTACAGACTCCATCATAACCTCTGGGATCAGTCGATGGGCTGAACCTCTCTTCTGCCTCATAGGGACACCTCTTGGGCAAGAACTTTATATTATGCACATTGAATGATTAACTCACGCTAGCTGTTATTAGTGATTATAGTCTGGTTGTGTATCACTTCAAGCTTGTTTTTGCAGACAGTATCTTATCACCAGCTATCTCTGAACCTTATCGTGTCACAAACTTGTGTTTTGGATATATCTTCAGCTAAAGTCCATTTTGTGTAAGTCTCCAGAGGCTTGGATAATTGAAATAAGGGATTTGACTCAGGAACGCTGTCAATGCAGGTCCCTGAGTAAGCTGGTCGAATCACCCTCCGATTTGGTGGGCTGTCAAGTAGGGTCCCCATAATGGGACACTGGACAGGCTGGTCAGACACTTTCTTGGGAAACTGGCAGGCTCATCAAATGTAAAGGGTTTGAGGAAACTCCCCTTGTAACATGACAGTAAAACTGAATGGCATGTGGGACAAATTTGGACAAGAATGTGCAAGCACTACACAGTCCTTTCAGACATAAACCATTAACCCAGCTTGAGACTAGGACTGGATCCAGCTGCCCCCAGCCCCTCTAGTATCTGAGGATCAGATGGAAAGCAAGGGGGTCCTTCTTGAACCTCCTGTGTGGGAGGGTCTCTCTAACACATCTTGTTCACTGGCATAAGGCAACCACCCGTTCCACGACAGCTTCCATCCCTGCTCTTGCGACATGGAGGGTAAAGTCAGTGACTGCCTCTTTCACTTTGACATCCAACACTTCTTTTCAACTTGCAATTTGAAAAACGTATTTTGGTGAACTGCTTATTATCTTAATATCTTCTAACATCAAGAGAGCTGCCTCTACAGCACCACACTGACTGTGGCTCTCAGGAAAACTGCCAATCCAAGTACAGAGGTGTGTTATTTCAAGTTTACTATTTAAGCCTTCAGTGTAATGCAAAGATTTAAAAAAGATGGTTTAATGAACCTAATAATTTATTGCAGATTCTTCTCATTCAACATCAATGAGAATTTTACTAGTGTATTGTAAATCTTCCTACTTACATAAATGATATCTTTGTTTAATACAAAATATTAGCTCTTAATGGTTTCCCTGCTGTGTCATATGCAAAATATCTTACAGGGACAGAAAGAGAACATGTCAGGTTTAATGTAAAAAAAGCCCATTTTCTGGTAGGGATTAAGTAATTTAAAAAATTAGTTAAAATAAATACCATTTAACAAACATTTCTATTTCCCACAGATCCATTTTCTATTACTAACTGGCAATATTTTTTCTGTTGCTCTTCCTTGAAAGACTCTTTGACCTTTTTCCTTTTCAGTCCCCCATCCCTGAAAGATACAGAAAAGAAACAGCCTTGAGCTCACTTCAGGGTGGAAAAGGCAGAAAAACATTACAATATTTAGACTACGTACTCAAAGCAGTTTTCACCCCAAATGTTGGCTTCCACAATACAATGCTTAATGATTTGTACTGTAAAGATGTACACAACACAAGCCATGCCTTGCCTTTAACCTCATATTTAACAGGCATATCATTTATTTTCACCAAATATTACCTGCTGGCTACATTCACCTGTCAGATCCATTTCTCTTTTTATACTTCATTATTCTATTTATCCTAGTGGAATTGTTCAAGGAATAAAGTAGTATTTTCTGACTTAGAGTTAGTAAAGGTGATGGACTACATGGCAAGCAAAGCAAATTTGGAAGAATTTTTAAAGGATTCCAAGCTAACATTTCAGAACACCTAAAAATGCTTTAAACTCAACCTCAAAGGTGTTGCTTCTTACCAAGGAAGAACAGACATTCCTGCCCGGGCAGCAATGACAGCCTTGACTCTGTTGGCAAAGTGAACAGCGTCTTCTTCTTCCTGAACAAGAATGAATTATTTGCTTTGCAACAGAAACATTTTCTGTGTGTCTTACTTAAAGAGATACTTCTTGTCAGACAGCAGGCACTTGGGTTCATGCCAGGCCCTCAAGCCAAATGTGACCTGCAGGGCAGTTCCAGCTGGTCCTGGTTTGCTACCATTTGATGCCAAAAAGAACTAAGTGGAAGGCTCTGTGTTTTCTGGGGCAATCTCAAACAACACACAGCATGAGGTCATAGGTCTGGCCAGAACAGTAGATGCATCTGCTCCCAGTACTTCAGCTGTGGGGTAAAGCTGCTGGCAAAGTATTAGCTGGATATTCGGCAGGGCTGAGAAACAAGGAAGTGAAAGGAAGCTGTGCAGATGGAGGTAGTGTGGGAACACAAGGCAAAAGCACCCCTGTATGGAGTGAGGAGGAGGTCTGAATCCATGTATTACTTGTGGAGTAAAAAAGGGAGGCCTGTGTCAGGCTGAGGGGCAGGACTCCTGCAGCATAAAAGCACATTTTAACATCTCTTCTAGTCTCTGGGAGCAGTGGAAAGCAAGGCAGCTGCACCCAAGTAAAGAAGCTGTTTGGGAGCAATAGGGTGCATGATGCAGAAATGTCTGAATACCTGCAAAAGCAGTTTTTACTTGAAGATAACGAACCCACATACATCTGTGCTCATTTAATTTTCAGAGTACAGTGTTGCTTTCTGGCCTTTATCCATTAAGTTCTCCATAAAGACTTGCAAACATACTGCCAACACCATGCGTAGTGATGCAGACTTCCTCCCAGACAACATTTTACAAGCATTTACAAAGCATACAAAAGCGTAAGTACCTCTTTGACCATTGGTGGAAGGTACCACACATTACAGACAATAGCCCAGCTGGTGAACATATTAAAAATATAGGTCATAATGGAATGCTTTGTACTGTTCCAGAATGCATCTCCAAAGCGGGGGTCATACTGGAAAACAAGAATAAGCAAAAGGGCATGATCTGCTACCTTAGTTTCTATCATGTAAGGTGCTCTTTTTTGGCCACAAAGTCACAGTTCAACTTTTTAAATCAGGGGCAAAACCACACCTCCAGCAGTAAATTCAGAGTAAAGCTCCATATTTCAATACTCATTACAAGTTTTTAAGTTGACCTCTACAAGCAGTACAGACCCCAAACTGTAACAGACACATTGAAATACATCTCAACTATAACGAGAGAGATCTATAAAAACCATAAGGACTTGTTATCTACAGATATGCTGACTACAAAGGCTTCCTTGATAACGCTTACACCAGTTTTAACAATTTCCATAAGATTAGGCAACATTATAGTTCCAGAAAAATCAACTAACGTATCTAGAGCTAGGGTTACTCAGAAAGCCTTGGAAATGCCAAGAAAAGTGCCTTTATCCCCAGAGCACACAAGAGCAAGGAGCCCTAGGACAGAAAGAACAGGCAGAGCTGAACACTCAGTACAGCAATTGCAACTGTGCTTTTCAGGTTGCTCCTAACCAGCTGTAAAGATATTCAGCGAAACATTTTCCATACTGCACTAAACTAAAAGATATTGCTCAAATGAAAAGATTCTGTTTTGTCAGTGCTTATTCAGTACATTATTCACACAGAACAACCCCTTTTTAAGGTTTACACATGAACAGCTTCTCTCACATGAGAAGCTTCTGCAAATAATCCTGCCATGTTTGGAAAACTGCAGATACGTTACCTTGATTGCTACTGGATGGATGGTCCCTCCTACCTCAAAGCTTCCCTTCTTAAACATCATTACGGATGTGTTGTTTATGCAGGTACCTGGCCAGAATTAAAACAGATTAAGAGTTTAATCCACTCATAGTATCAGCAAATGAATCCTAAAGAATAGTATCAGCAAATGAATCCTTAAAACTGTCCTTACAGAGACTTAAGTTGCTAGAGGAGAAATAAGCTTTAGTTCTGAAACATAATTCCAGAGCCTGTTCTCTATTCCATTATGCCATACATGAAAGCAAATAGACTGTCATAAAGCTGTTGTAAAATACGAGGATCTGACTTCTAGTATCTCACAAGAGCTAATTAATTCTACAGACTAAAACCAAACACCTCACTTGTGAAGACTGGGTATAATAAACTGCACTCAGTGGCAAAAAGTGAGAAGAGCAATAAAATCAATGTAGTTGTTTCCTACCTTCTGGGAAAATTAAAATGGGTAATTTGGCCTTATCTGCAATGTGTTCTCTAATTCTGTGGAGAGAAAATAAAATTTCAGTGTATGCTTCATATTTGTATTTGGCCAAGAACCTAAACACCTCTTTACTTAGGACAAGAAAAGCTCTTGCCCAATTCCCCTTTGCCACTTGGTAGCCTCAGCCAGGAAATATGGTAGTTTCAGGACTTTATTTCAAGGTTCTCTTTTACTAATTGCAAAAATAGGGTTTTTTACAAAACTGTATGCATTTTATTTAACCATTTTAACCCAGTTATCATGAAGCCAGAGAACAGTGGAATTTGAAGCCATTTGATCTAAAAACCATTTCCTTATCTTTGACAAGTTTCAGCTACGAACACAGTCAAACTTTTCTTTGGACTGACATATATGCCATATTTCAAGTTTTCATGCCTTCTAGGTTCATAACATCAGTTTTACACGTATCTAATGATTCTCTACACATAGTAGAAATAGGCCACTATTTTTCTGTATTTGCTGCATCACTTAAAAGCAAGTGTATTACCACTGAGCAGATTACTGACATACAAAATCTGTCATTTTCCAGGACACCTGTCTTTCCTCCTATGACTCAAGAGCATGCAGTTACTCTCCAGTCTGCATTAAAGAACAAAACCAAAACATCAGATATCAAAAATTAAAAAAGAATGGGGGGTCCTTCTCCATTTTTCTAAGGACAAACTATCACAGACATTTACTTAACATTAGCTGCATTGCACTCTACTTCATGAAGATTTAGGATGACTAAGAATAGTCTCTGTAAGCACCTGAGAATGTAAGCACTGCCATGGCATCAATCCTGTTCATGTCCTTAAAGTCCAGCATGCTGTCTCTGCCAAGAATCAATATTGCAGGCCTGGAGGGCAGTGTAGGCATTAAACAAACATATTACAACACTTCTCCAGGATAGCCTGCCAGCTTCTAGCAGCTAGGTGGTAGCCCTGGTCTCTTTGTTTTGTTTGGTTTGGGGATTTTTTGCTACAATCAGCCTCCTTTTACCCTTTATTCACATCATATATAACAATCTTCAATGTTCATAGCTGATGAAAAATGTAGCATGACCTGGGAAGCAGATGTACTGACAGAACTTCCGTTTCTGTCCTGACATCCCTCAATCCTGCCTGTGGCAGACAGGGCAACTATGGCAATGTGGAAGTTCCCAGAGGTTACAGGGCAAACAATCAGAAGTTCAACAGATTGCTACACCATGCACCTTCATTGATGGAGCAGTTCCAAACCTTACACTGATGACAACCTACAGCTGCCCACCAAAAGGAGATGGAGGGTGAGAACAGCCTCAACTCAGGCTTGGACCTCACCATTAATAGACCCAACAGGACAATTGAGCAAACACCTCACTACCTTACTTTTTCCTCACCAGATGACGGTCTTTCATTTCTGAGCGTTCAAACAAAACGTGCTGAGTGGTTTGCATGCAAGATTTTTGAATAAGTCCCATAAGCCCTCCATGTGCCTGGCCAACCTGCAAGCCCAAAAGGATCTGGTTACTATGCATAACTACTACACACAAATGATAAAATTCTGAACACAAGTGCATCAGTTTCTAAGCTCATTCACAAATGATACCAACCTTATTGGTTAAAAGTGTTCACATACTTGCCTGTGTGTGGTATTATTTTGCAGCCCAGAATGCGAGTTTGAATGCCATCAATTCCTACTCTTTCCACGAGTAGGTTTATCCTCTTACCCAACACTACATCTATGCGCATACCAACAGTACCAATATTTACCAACTCTCCTGTTCATACCAAGGAATAGCATCCATCACTGGCCAGGATTAGAACATCTAATGGAGATGTGTGGTTGGCTACACAGATGCCACCTTCCCGCGGTTGGTTTTCTCTGCAATGACAACCATAAAAGTAATTACTTAATGTTTATTCTGCAGACTACAGGCTACACCCGTCAGGTGACCCATCCAGTGAGCATACATCCACAACTGAGACTCTCACTGATAAAAGCATTTCATGCATACAGCTTATCTGCAGATCCATAGGAAGTGGAACGACACAAAACATTTTAAAATACTAACTATTAAAGTACAATATATGTTAATACTTCTGGCAGTTCATTACAGCAGATAAACCATCTTTCCTCACTTTCAAGAGTCCCTTCAAATTTCAGTAGTTTTTTTCACCAAAACCAATTTCCTTTTAGCTGGGAATGTGAGACTTCATTCGAACAGGCATTTTAGCTGCATAAATTAACATTCAGAGGCATATATCAAAGAATATTTAGACACTAAAACTCTAAAAGCAAAGACCATGTTTTTGCTTGTTTTCTCAAGCACAAAAATATTTCAGAAGCCTCCATTACATAAAGCTCCATCACTAAGCAAGCAAGATATTACAAAAACTTACTGAAATACCATCCTTAACTTGCTTTAGGAGGAGCATGAAGAATTAGTTACCAAAAAAATTGGCTGATAGGACAGCTGAGTATTTGTGGTGATGTCCTTGTACATGATTATAATGCATAGATGGCAAGCACTGTATATTTAATTGAGAACACAGTACTACTTCACCTTCACATACTCTGCCAATACACAACTGAAAATACAGTAGTGCATGCAAACATCTTCACAGAGTCTTGATGATCCAAATAGCTTCTTGGATCAAGTTGTACCATCAGAGTATCTGTGCAGTAATGGAATAAGAATCCCGCTCTGCAACTTGAGACATTGAGTACTGTAAGAAATCAATACCAACCCAACGAGAGGAGGGTGGCACCACTCACCTGTTGTGGAAATGAACAAGGCCACCCAGACATCGGATACCTAATGTGGCACATATCATCTGAACCTGGTTGGCCAGCCAGCGTTTAACTCTGAAAGAAATGAAATGAATATACATTTCCACATCTATGTAGTCATTCACAGAACAACATAATGTAAACTCTGCAAATTATTCCCAATAGCTGTGATTACATAGACCATACTGAGATTCATTGCATTAACAATGCCATGCAGAAGAAGCTTAGCAGGTATCAAAGATATTCTTGTTCCAGTGTTCTACTGTCTAAGCCCAAAAGATTCAAAGCAGAGAAGATAATAGTCAGGAGTTTGTTTTACAGATTTTGTCTGGAAATAACCACTATTGACTCATTCATTAACATTAATTAATTAATATTAAGAAAAATATTTAGCTGGTGAATCTCATTTGCATTTTTTTGCACTGACAGGACATGACAATCTCACAGTACTAATATAGAATTGCTCAGGACAGATGATTTACTTGTCCTATTATGACTAAGTAGAGCATACTCTATTTTCCACTCTAAGACATGCTTCCAGCAGTATCTATATGGCTTCCATTGCATGTCCACTTTCAGATGCCATTGCCATACTCTCTCTTGTAGTGCTCTATGAGTTTACAGTAGAGAAAAAGTCACCCCATGATAGTCCACATTAATCCTCTGGACTCAAGCAGATTTATATTCCAACACAGTAATTAAGATCTTTAAAGAAATAAAAAAGGAATGGAAAGAGCCCTCAGAAAACACCTACCTCCCATTAGGAAACTGTCCTACTACCGTAGTGGCCGATAGCAGCAAGAGGATGGTGAAAACAGCCAAGCAGATGCTACAAAGGAAAATAATCTTAATTAAATGCCAAGAAGCAAAACTGGAAGAGCAAGAAAGAAAATAGTTTCTTTAACCCTTTGATCCATTTCACAATGCTTCTCTCTGCCATTAATAGCATCTAAATAGCAATGAAAACCAGCTAAGGCCAACAGGATAGTACGAGTGTTTTCCCTCAATTAATCCCACACTGAGTACAAAACCTTGTGCTGCCTGGAGCCTATCTTCCAAAAAGCACCACACCCTGATCTGAAGCTCTCACAGGGTAAAGAAGCCATTGTGTTCAAAGAGGACAGTGAGTAGTGGCTGATGTTCTTTAAAGCAGGTGAGACTTCTCAGTGCCAAAAGGGATGCTGCATTTCAATGTTTTAAACCTATCCAGAAATTTCAGAACATACTTCCACTCCAAGCAGTAAGATACTATATAATCATGAAAATTAAATGGCAGTTGTTACTAATCGTAGAATCATAGAATGGTTTGGGTTGGAAAGGACCTTAAGATCACCTAGTTCCAACCGCCCTGCCATGGGCAGGGACACCTCACTCTAGACCATGTCACCCAAGGCTCTGTCCAACCTGGCCTTGAACACTGCCAGGGATGGGGCACTCACCACTTCTTTGGGCAGCCTGTTCCAGTGCTCCACCACCCTCACAGTAAGGAACTTCTTCCTTATATCTAACCTGAACTTCACCTTTTTAGGTTTAAACCCATTACCCCTTGTCCTACCACTACAGTCCCTACTGAAGAGTCCCTCCCCAACATCCTTATGACATCCTAATGACAGAGCAAACCCAATATTGAAACCATGCCTACATAAACATTGTCTTAAGCTGCATATGTAAACTTAAGCAGGATACGTGCTCTGCTATGTGATTGATTGGTATGATTTAAACCTTCTGTCCTCCCAAAGGAATCTGAAAGTTTAAAATCACTTGCTCTTTACAAGAACGCATGAATTTTTGTAACTGTTATTCTTGTAACCGTTTGGTCAATATGATAAAGGCTGGGTTTTGCTTAATAGGAAATTTTAAAAGTTTGAAAATCTAATACATTCCGTATGGATGTCTCTCCATCCAGCCCTGTGCTCCCTGAACATTGCCTTTGCTTCATATCTGAAGTGTTCAGCATACAGATAGAGACTGATCCTTTCAGCTGAAATAGTTGTTCCTTTACATAACAAAAAGATCTCCAGATCATTTCTATACATATCTGGATTTTAAAACCAAATTAATTACTCACATACTGAACATGAGAAATGTACAACTTCAGCACCTTTTTTTATTTTAGGGATATTTGAGTTTCGATGGCATCTGAGAAAACAAAGTCATGCCAGGTTCTCCTTTCTGCACTAGTCCATAGCATATTATTTCACATCTTTTGTAAAAAGCAACATGAAAAACAGATCACAGCGAATTACATCTGGCTCACCGAAAAGGCATCAGGAGACAGTACCGAATTAGGATGCCAATGACCCACACAACAGTCAGTTGCCAGCTGACATGGTGCAAGTTAGCATTGGTTCTGCTGAGGAGATTCCAGGACACCAGCTCCTCAGAGGAGAACCGCTGGGTGACTTCATCTTCTGCAACTGCCTCACACCCCTTCTTGAAGAAGTACATAACATCAGCAAGGTTGAAGCATCCTCTGCGCTGGCCAGCAAGCTCCTCTTCCATGGAGATTTCTTCTCTCTGGATGATCCCTGCATGAGGAAGTGAGTCTTCCTTGCACACAGTATGGATTCCAAAAAGAGTAAAATGCGTGTGCTTTTTAGAAATAGCTCTCCTTCTACTCCAAGCACTGTAATTGCATTGTTACGCCTCATTTATGTCCTGGCATTTAATTCCAGAAGTTACTTCTCTAATCCTAGGCCATATAGTACCACTGAATTCTTGGAGAAAGGTGAAAAGCATTCAGAGCAAGGAGCAAATAAAACCTTGGGCACAATGCCTACAACATATGTGTACACACCTAGAAATGTCAACAGTGCACTGCCAAGATTGCAGACCCCTCCTAGTGTCTTGACTCAACTTCAGGCAGTGTTTGTATAGTTGTTGTTATTGCTGCTGTTGATTAGTTTTACAGTTATGAACACCTTCCTCATATTTTCCTCAGAGCCTTCTCTCTTCCCTCATCTTTTTTCCCTTAGAGTCATTTCACTATGAAGAAACTTCCAAGTGTCTAGATTTTCCCCCTAAGTTATACATAATGTAGCACAGAAGCATTGTGTACATTTGATTTATCTTAATCAACATACTAGCCCCCACACAATCACAAAACCTTCATTCCAGCTGCACTTCAGTCAAACCTTCAATGCCTAGGAAATCATCAGACCTAAAATACACTAGCTGACAAACCAAGCAGTCTACGTGACTAAACATGGCACTGCAAGTAAAAGGATTACTATAAGAACTTAACCCAGTCCCCTTTATTCAAAGAAGAAAGGAAAAGTAGTTGGGAAGAAAAAAGTTACTACTCTCTCAGACTTTATCCCCATGCCTACATAAGGGCACAAATTGTAATTATGGTCTGTCAGATGATTAGTTCCTTTATTTGAGAGACCCTGCCTTTTTGCATGCTAGAAGTTACAAGAAGCAAGAGAGAATCCATACAGAGCAATGTCAAAGGCAAAGAATACTCATTCTTCCTAATCTTGGAGAGAGAGAGAGCTGATGGAGTCAAGTACAAAATACTCATGAGAACAAGGATAGCTTCCCAAATGCTTATAAGTAACATCTTTCTATAACAAGATGAATAGTGCTGTGTCACCTTCATTCAGAAGTCTTACCAGTGGAGATTAAATTTTCAGGTGCCATGGCCTTCTGCTTTTTCACTCCCTCCTCAATCTGCAGGGTGGCCCACTGTTCCCAAAACAAGAAAAGTAGATGGTTTTCATTTCATCATTTCCAGACATGCTATAATTACCTTAAGTGAACTGTCTGAGCCTCTTTTATTGAAGCCAGGTCTTAGATTTTCAGGGCAGGCTGTCCTGCACACCTCCTTTTCATTTGTTACATATATTACCTTTTGCCATTTTCAGGAAAAACGGTTTGGCCCAAGCAGGTAGGTTTTTTCCTGCAGCCCCACAAATTACTGAGCTACCTAAGAGACTCTGAGGTCCATGGGTCCAAAACTCTCTCTTCCCCAGTTAGCTTCAGGCAATAGAATGAACTGAGAAATGACATTAGAGACATGCTGGGAAAAAAAGATTCAAAAATTAATTTTAAATAATAAAGGAAGATTACCTCAGTTTTAGAGCATTCATGCAGTTTCTGTTAACAGAAAACACAGGAAAGCATTTCGTATCCATAGCACTTCGATGTAGTTGTTTTAGTAATGAGCTTTCACCCTTCTCTGTTTTTACCTGTTTGAGTTAAAACAAGTTTCTCCTCCTTGTGGAGAGTAGCATAAAACTCCTCCATTAGCAAAATCAAATATACCAATATGCCTAATTTTTGAAGTTTTCATAGCTTTGAATATTTTCATCATACTTATATAGACTTAACTAGTAGCTCTCATGAGTACTAGATATTCCTGTATTCCTGCTATTAAGGCTTCCTACCTACAACAGATAAGGGTACATTTGTTTGTTTCAGGATAAACTCTTGCTAAACAGTCCATTCCCTCTTACTGACATGTGCAACCACTTAAGTCACCATGAAGCTTGACCTCAAATAGTCGTTGCCACATTACAACATGATGCATATGCTAACATCAACTAGCTTTTTGCCATCCTTAAGTTTCACGTGCTCTCTACCATCTGCTCTGTAGCTATTGAAGTTTAGGCCAGTAACAAAAAGGGACACTTCATCATGGCATAAATAGGATATTATAGTTATCCTCAGCTGACTTTTTTTTCACCTGCCATTTTAAAGAAAATTAAAAAAAGAGTAAGCAAAATATGCAGTGATGTGGTATTTTAAGCTCCATGCAAACTGTCTATTACAGCACCATATTAAAACCAACAAACATAAAAACCCACCACCAAACAAACAGATCTTCACCTTGTCTGTAGTTTCCAACTGTTCCCTAGGAAAGGTAAACTTGTACACCATCTCTCTTTTGCAACACATGGAGAATCATTCAGAACTGGGGAGTCAGAGGATGTCATGAAAACAGCAGCCCACATGCTGAGTTAAGAAAGAATATATGGCACAGGAACAAGAATGTTGCAAAAGAGAGTAAAGGCAGACATGAGGCAAACCTAACCTCCTTATTATGCACTGTTGTTCCTCAACCCTTTCCCAGTATCCTCTAGGATAGTTGTATGGCATGAGGGAGGAATAAAGTAAAAATCATCTAGCTTGACAAATAAAGCCCTTTGCTTTACTGTCTGCTTTGCATTCTCTTGTCTACCAGTCTAATCTTGCTCATCATGGTCCTCCTACATGATTATACACCTGCCAGTTGGCAAGCACTGCCAGATATGAGTTTGCTCATACTGTCCCAAAGGATTTGGAATACAACAAGGAGGCTGGCTTTTGAATCCCAGGTAGAAAAGAGTGATAATCACTGACCAAGCTGACTCACCAAATACATGCTAACTAATTCAAATGAGCAAGACAAGTCAAAACCAACAAAAATTTGTAAAGTTTACAAGTAAAAAGTCCTGCTTTGTAGCACAGAGAAACGGTGGGACAAAAGTGGCAGTGTATAATTAAATAGTCAGTCAAGCAGAGGACAAGGCAGATGAGAAAGAGCTTTCAACATGTGAATGCTTACACAGAGCTTATTTGCTTGGAAGAGAGCTGGCTGATACAGTGTATGACAAAAGTCTACAAAGTCTGGACTGTCACAAAGCAGGTGCATAAGGAACAGTTAACATTTTCTCTTCTAGTACAAGAACTGGGGAGCATCACATGAAAGTGTTGGGTAGAATATATGAGCAAGAAAAAGGTACTCTTTCCACAAAACACAGTTAAGTTACGGAGTTCATTGTCCAGGACATATTGCCAGAGATCACCTGAAATGGGAGCAGTTACATAAAAACATAGATAAAAATCATCATGGGACACAAAACTCTCCTAATGCATGAACTGGCACTGGGGGCTGAAGTAAAAAGCAGCTGGGAGGGTATTCTGGGCAATAGGACCATACAATCACCCAGCTCTTAGACTTTTCATCAAGCAATTGAGTTGACGCCTGTCAAAGCCAGGCTGTCTGTCTGGGTCAAACTGTGCACTGACCCAGCAGAGCAGCTTCTATGCTGTCCCGCATTTAGTGGCATCTGTATGTTTAACTTGTTTTTAAAAATGAAATAAGGCTTTGCGATCACCTTTGTTTTTGCACAGTATTGAGACAGAGCTGTCATGCTGGTCTTTGTTGCAAAACAGTAATGAAAGGATGTTTTAAATACCTTACAAAAACATAGATGTTGCAACTAACACAGAATTTAAGCATTAAATGGAGCAACTTAATTCCTAAGTTTGCTGACCGAATGAGAACTCAGGTGCTGTGCTTTCCTCCCTCCCATTTCTGAAGTGATAAGGGCACAAGAAGTCCAAATATCCAGTAAGCAATCCCAGCTGAAGCAGTGAAGACTTGGAAGCTTAATTCCAACAGTCTGTTTGTTTGAGGCTTCCTGTAATTAAGTTCTGAACAAAATAAGGGTGCCCAGTATTTCATTATTTTAATTATTTTCTTCGTAAGACATGACATGAAAAACTATACAATATGGAATATACATTTTTTAAAATATCATTTGTTGCATTTTTTACTCCCATTTTCCTTTTAAGTACAGTTCAGTCTGTTGTTTGGTATTCTATTTTTCCATGCTGTGTAATCTTTTTTGCCTCTCTTCTACGTTTCCATATTTTACTGCCTCTTCTCCCTGTTATCACAAAAGTTTTTTCTAATCACTCATTACACTGGCATTTTTCAATCCTTTTCTTGGCTTTGTTCTCATGTGTGACAAAGGCCTTGGGGCAATTACTCCATGTAAAGTCTTCCTATACAAAGAGAAGGTCAGTAGGTTTTTAGTGCAAGCTAAAAATCACCACCTAAGATCAAGCACTTACAAGCTTTTCATCCAACGGTCCTTTCTGCCTGGTGTCATTTCCCCTCTCAGGTTCCAGATCAGAAGGCAAAAATCAAATTATTTGTGTATTACATTGCATGTCTGAGAGGATGCGCAAGCAGTGTCTGTCCACAGTCAGAGAGCGAAAAGCACCGACAAATCTCCTGGCTGCTCTAGTGAGGGAGATGAAATAGGTTGAGAAGGTTCCCAAACGTTTGTTTGAGATAAAAGCACAAGTATCATTTCTTTGGGTTGTGATGTAGTGGCCAGCCCAGGATAACCATGTATTTGAAAGCACAGCAGTGAGTTTCTATCACTAGCTTAAGTGTCTGCAACATCTGCCCATGCTCCAGTGGGAGTTTACAGCACGTTAGCCACCTCAGTATACAAGTGAGCCATAGGTTCAAAGAAAATCCAGTTATTAGCTGGCTGATGTCTTTCCTACACATGAGTATTTCTCAAGAAACAATATTCCAACTGCCTACAGAAGCTCAGATCTCATGAAATTCCAGAAGATTCTTGGCATATGGAGCTACAGATGTTTACCACATGTACTTGACTCTCCACAGGACTGCAAGATCATGGTGTAGATTTCATCCTAGCAAATATATTTTCTTTTGCAGCTGCAATGCTAAGGGGCTGGAATCATGTTCCTAGCACAGTTTTGCTAGTACTGTCATTTCCACCAAACCCCACTACAGAGAGGCAAATACAAAGCTTAGAGAAAACACATTATTTCACAATAAAAGCTTACAAGCATATAGGAAAGAATAATCCTATTGTAAACCAAACCAAATTCTTCGTTATCATTTCCAGAAATATTTTATGGATAAAGGAAGGGTAATAATAGTAATTATGAGCTAGCAATTATGAAATTGAGAAATTACTGTCTTGGAGATCTTCTACTATCATACTATCCATACGACCTGAAAAATAACCCCCAAAAAGCCACAACATGAAAACCCCTCAAACACAAAAACCTCACAAAGCCTAAAACCTCACAAACAAAAACCAACCTCTAATTTTTCAAAACTTAGATCTTGCTTTTGTAAAAAAGCTTGATTTGTTTCTAAAACAAAAAAACCACCAACCTCAAAACAAAAACCAAAACCAAAAGTATCTAGATTCCCTGATGGAGAAGCAGCAACAGGTACATAGATTTAATACATAGAAATATATGAAACATTCCATACATAGAATCATAGAATGGTTTGGGTTGGAAAGGACCTTAAGATCACCTAGTTCCAACCGCCCTGCCATGGGCAGGGACACCTCACTCTAGACCATGTCACCCAAGGCTCTGTCCAACCTGGCCTTGAACACTGCCAGGGATGGGGCACTCACCACTTCTTTGGGCAGCCTGTTCCAGTGCTCCACCACCCTCACTGTAAAGAACTTCTTCCCTATATCTAACCTGAACTTCACCTTTTTAGGTTTAAACCCATTACTCCTTGTCCTCTCTCTACAAAATCACTATACATAGATTACCCAATGTTTGTTCTGGCCACTGTTCACACTGCTAAAACACTTCAGTACAGACAGGAAATCAAAATTACTTATCATATGCCACCATTACTCATTGCTTAGTAATACATGTGCAAACTTGGACTTCATCCTAAAACACCTAGAGCTTCTAGCAAATTCAGAAAGGGCTTATAGATATGCTTGAAAACACAACTTTGAAAAAAGTATCTTTTTATTTTAAAAATCCTTGATTTCAGCCTCTACTCTCATTTTTTTCAAATTGAAAAACATGAGGAAAATAAGACGTTTTCCATCTGCCTCCCATTTTGCATAGTCATTTACCACTCTAAGAAGTAAATATAAAGCGTTCTCAGGTGAGAACTTTTGTACTATTTTTTTTAGTCTACATAACAGACTAAAATAACTGCAATGAGATGGAGAATCCCAAGATAGTGCTCAAGGCTGGATTATTGGTGGAACCTCAAACAGTTGTTTGGTACTTCCTAGAGCACTGATATTCCTGCAATATAGTAAGTACTGTGCTAATACATGACCAAGCATCTGCCTATAGCATTTTGAGCTAGCTATCCGGTAAGGCATTTTATTTCACCGTTTAGGCTAACAACAGGAACCAAGGATGGTCTTTGTGCATTACCTCATTAGCGAGACTACGTAACAATTAATTACCTCTTTTTTTGATAAATTAATCCTCCACAGTGTGAACACAAAATTCTCATGCTCATACCTTGTTACAAAAACTGTGGGAAGAAAAACATTTAACATGTTTTTCCAAAGAGAAATACCTGCCTATATAAAGTCCCCACTGAGTGGGTCACAAGTCCTTCAAAGCTGGAAAATGCACACGAGGAACAAAAATGCAGGAATTATTTTCATGCTTGCCAACTGCAGCAGCAAAGCTGCCCAGCGACCCCTCAGGTTTGTGTTTGATATGAGAATGCCTGATGAAATCAGTTCTAAATGCCACAAGCCTTTTAATCAGGGCACCAATAAGAATGTAATTAGCATAGCACTGGCTGATCTAAAAAAGAAAAAAAGTATTACATATAAAAGCCAATATTACATACAGGAACTGGAGGCAGTCATTTCCCATTCACATCAGTATCTGAAAAAACAAGTAACCCCCCAAGTTAGCAGTCACTAGGCACACTGTGCTAAATGGTGTTCATACAGCTGAAGACAGTCCCTTCCCAAGAACTCTTAATCAGTATTGAGAGAGAGAGAGAGAGAAGACTTATAAGACAGAAATAAGACAGAATTGGCAAGGTCAGATAGTCATATTAAATATATCACATTGTTACAGTCATGCTCTACTGCACAGATAGATGGCTCTGACAGCTTAATAATAGTGACAATACTAGTAATAAGTTTTCTGCCACAAATGGAAAGTATATTCACAAAAAGCAGGTTTATGCCAGAAAGACAAAGTTAATCTACCGGAAAATGGGAATACTTCACTGTTCAATATAATGAATTCATAGCACCTACTTTTGGCCACTGGATATGAAAAGTCAGACTTGAAAAATTAAATGTAGTTCTGGCTTATTAAAAGCTCCAAAACACTTCTACTGATACCAGCAGAATCAGGATCTTAGCCATGACCTGTTCATCTCTAGAAAAATTAGTTTTAGAAGGTTGCATCGATTCCTCAAGTATCACGCAGCAGAACTTGTGACTGCTGGATCCCTCAGATTTTAACTGGAAGAAGCAAACACACGGAGTCAGTATTCTTACCTACAACAGTATTCATTAATACCATGTCATTAAAATAATCCAAATAAAACCACTGAAACTTATTTACATCTAAAATACATGTTCTTATTACCAGTTCTCGTAAACTAATACACATTTTTATTTCTATTTGAGTTGTCATAAAGTATTCTAACCAGCTTGAACTAGAAGCAGTATAATATGGAATCTCTATTTAACCAAAGAAACCAGTACATATTATAATCCAGCACATAATTAGATTAAAGACACCATTCAAAAGAACCATCAAGTGTAAGTTAAAGCTGCAAACAAAACATCCAAGTTAATGGAATTCTTTCTGCTGACTTTTATGGCATCCATATGAAATGTACAGGTTTTTATTTTTTATTAAACATGTCCTGAGCCAAACATACACCTTTTAAACCCGATTCTCAACTTACCTCTAACATTGCTATTAGAATTTTCACATAGAAATGTGAAATCCCCAATGACACTCGAAACACTGAAGGCAACAAAACCAATGCCACAAACAAAATCGTCCAGATAAATAAAATCCTGCCCTCTGCAAGACCATGGCCCTTATTTTCTTCCATGCTTGTCCCTTCAAAATGCCAGCCTGCTGCCTTCCTGAGAATACAAGATCATCCGTAGTGGAGAATCCAGCAAGCTTCAGGAGACAAATAAAACTTGAACATTCTAAGAGAAGGCTGCTGCCCTGTGAAGCCTGACACCAAAGAAGCTCTCAATGATAACATAATTTCTAACCCCTGTCCCGCCCTAACTCCACCCCCTTTTTAATTGATAAGCATTTACTCATCAGATATAATAGATGAGAGAAGAAAGAAAAACCATGATAAGTAATATTATATGCTAAGTAGTAAGATACTGCCAATAAAGTAACTTGTCAATGTGTCAACTAGCTTTCACAAGGTGTCCTACCAGTGAATTGCAATACAGAATCAAGTAGGTGTTGCTTTCAGACTGCCTAAAATCTTCTCTTCTAAAACTCATTTAATACACATGAAGCACTTCTCAAACTAACATTCACTCAAATCATTGACTTATTTAGTCAGACTTTCTACTTCATGGCAAAATGGCTGCCTCGTTTTGGTATTTGACCAGAGGAACCAAACTGAAGCTTGAGGTGCAAGTCAGGCTTTTTGATTTCATTTTAATATTTAAATTAACTGTTTTATTTTAATAACACCTGTGTAATCAAGATGCAAATTTCATCAGGCAGGAATTGGCAATACAATAAAACCTGTTCCCTCCACTGCTCTACAAGAAATTAGCCAAACTGTATTACAGGATTACAAAATGCACTGTGGTGAAGTAACAAGTCTTTATATCTATTTGATTACATAATTCAAATACAATAGTTAAGCAGGTATCTCCTTCTATCCTATAAAATGCCAATAATTTAATTCAGTATTTTTTTAGGAGAGACACTTGTGCCTCTTACACCAACCCCTCTCATGCCTTTTTTATGCGTCACAGAAGAAACCAAGGTGAATAACTGTATCTCTAGAACCTAAGAGGAGCCAACCAGGTGCTCATTTACAACCTTATCACAGAATAAATTAACTAACCTTGGTGGAATGAGCATTTAGGGCATAATTTCCAATACAGTGATATGCTGGTCCACGAAAGATCTTACCTTTGCGCATGCTTACATTATCATATCTCTCTAAAGCCAGGGCTGTCCTTTTAAAACATCCCCATACCATTGCTTGGTTTGTGTTGTAGGGCAGCCTTGGTACACACAAACTAGATTCCTTAAAAATTAAACCAGACACAAAGATCATCTGTTGAAAGAGTACCCAATACTCTTGAGTCAGTAACAGAAGCACAGCTAGCAGAGTGGGCTGCACAACCACTAAGTCCTCTAGTTTATACCAGGCACCCAGGCACCAACAAGCAGGCTCTCGACATGTTGCAAGCTCAGATGGCACCATGACTTGCTTCTTGTGCCACATAATGAGTCAAGAAGCTTTTGTACCTTCAGATTTGCTGCTGAAGACCATCCCTGAGGTCTTTGTAACTACGCCACATCTCCTTTAGCAATCTGACTTTTCTTTTGCATCTTCTTTTCATTACTTACCTACTTTAGATTCTCTAACCCTTGCTGACCTCTTTCTGAGCCTTCTTTATGTTCTACCAAACCTCACTGGTTTAATTCTTTCCACTTTCCCATTGCTCTTTCTCTCAATGGCAACCACAAGCCCCTCTCTCCCATTACATCACTGCTGCCAAGCAAACCATTACTCACTATTCCTTATCTGCCTCACTAAACAGCTGTAGTTCTAGGCTTCTCTAGGTACAACGTTTCATTGTGAAACAGATTTACTCACCCATTTGTGTTTAGCTAACATTCCTTACATTCTTATTTCTGGTCTCTTCCTCGAGTGGCTTGCCCTGCTAATGCACGTTCCCTAGGGTGGCACACAGCAGAAAGCTGGGTGAGTGGGTGTTGACCCTCTGGCACAAGGCAGAGCATCTCTGAAGAGCTGCCTTCAGCCTCGGCACAGGGGATTGGTATGCATGTCAGCTGGGCACTAAAAACTTTGTAGGCGGGAGGGTGGAGGTAGTTTCTGGGACCTGATTTGAGGCAGGAAAGGTGGGTGAAGTGAAGCACACCAGGACTGTTCTGGTAGTGTAGTGACTGTCCTAATGGGATGCCTCAGCAATAAGCCCAGACACACACAAGAGGGATCTTTCTTAAAAGGAGAGAAGGCAAATCAGACTTTTCTACCCTGGGGGGAGAAAGAAGAGGTTTCTCTCCTGAATGAGAGAGAATTATTTTCCATCCTGTGAGACCTTACCATTTGCACTGCCTGTCTAATCCTTACAAAGTCACATTCCCTGCCACTCCAGCAGCACTCCAGGAGTTTGGTCTGGGTTAATTTTCTGCCAAAAACGGCTGGCAGAGTTTATAAAGCATCTTTCTGCTCTTGGGATCATAAGCATGGAAACAGCTGAGACACAATGGTCAAAGCAGGTCTACATCTTAACTCCAAAGCACTCAGGATTGCTATAGAAGTAAATCCGGACTTGAAATGTATTTCTGCCCTGTATAAAGGTGATGCATTTGCTCGTGATGTGAAGAAGAAAGGAAATTCTTCATTTCTCCAGGCAATGAATAACACTGCTTCCTCTTTTCCAGTCAGAAAGTTGGCATAGCTTATTATGCTCTGTCCTGGGTTCCCATCACAGTCACTGATTTATTTTTTTATTATTATTATTTCAAAAGGACCACTGAAATGTACATGTTTGCCATATTTCAGTATGGACAGACATGCATCCAACACTATGAGCTGAATAAATAGTTTGTGATGGCGCTACATAAAATTCCTCAGCACAATAATTTCTTTAAGATTTAGCTCTGCCATCCACCAACTAAACAGAGCTTCTGCATGTCATTCCGTTACCCTTCTCACATTTATCCCTCTTACCAACAGCCAGCCTGCTGTAATCATGTTTATTTTGAAGCTGGAAGACCTACTTTATCCAGACATGTGAAGGTATTGCAAAAAATTCATAAACAGGCAGCAACAGAATGTAGTTTTACTCATTTTTAAGGTCCAGTAAGTAACAAGTGATGAATTTCTACCAGATAACTACATTCAATTCTTTATGATGTTAGGAGAAGTCACCAGACATTGTGCAAAACTGTCTTCATTTGGAAGAATGAAATACAACTTAGAAGAAAGGGTTGCTGGTGACACAGGAGTAATTCAAGAGAAAAGCTCCCTTCAATTTAACAAATCTCAAATTGACTTCTGTGATCATAAGAAATTCACTTGAAACAAAGAAGATATCCCTGGTCTCCCAAGGAAATGAGATGGAGTGGGTGTCAGCTGCCTACTCTTGACTCTTGATCCTTGAGGTCATTCTATTAATTTCTTATTATTAGGCAATGTTTTGCAAGTGTCTGAGGGAACCGTAATTATGACCCATTTATTTTTTCACTGCAAGGAGAAGCAAACACAGCACTGACCTCTGCCTATCTGTAGTGCCTTATTATGGGAGGATTAAATCAGGTATAAACAGGAGTGGCTATTCCAGTCCCTCCAAAAGCTGCCTGGAGGGATGTCACAGAGAGGAGAGTCTGCAGCCGATACTGGCCTGCCTTTCTTGTAATGTCTTTCTTTTCAGACTACCAGAACATCATATGTCCCTAGCAGATACTGTTCCAAAAGAGCACTGACACATCAACAACACAGGTAGTGCTTCTGATGTTCAAGTAATACATTCTCTAGGTGTTAACAGCAGTGTTTCTACCTGAGGCAAATGACAATAGGCTCCACAACTATCAACCATGGCCAATCTCCTATCAGTTGACCTTTTTTACACAAATATACACAGTATATTATTTACCTGTTTTGAGCTGCAACATGATCAAAAGCTGCTTCCATTTAGAAGTACACCCTAGCATTGTCATTAGGAACATGAAGGTGTTCATATTGCTGAAATTATTCCCCTGCCTCCAGCTGTAGGGCTCCCTGGTATTTCTATGCAAGTTTTGCCATGTTACACAGAATGATCTACTTAGAAAAGCTCTGTAAGTCAATGACACAAAGTCATGGAAGCAAACCTGGGCTGATTCCTCAGCATCTCTTAACAGTCAGAGGCACCAACATCATGTTTTGCAGGATAAGAAAGTCTTTCGGACCCGAGCATTCTGCACTCTGGTAATTCTGCTGTGTGTACTCACACATGAAAACAACTAAGAATACCTCCTTTTCAATTAAATTCTTACCTGCTGTTAAAAAAAAAAAATAAATAAAAAGGCCTTCTTGGTTTTTGCTTATATCTTCTCAATGTTTCAACCTTACATTCAGCAAACTTCTCATTTGATTGCTAATCAAGGGTGACATAATCTCTGGTAGTTTTGTTTCCATTTATATCAAGACTAAGGTTCATGCTTCACTTGTGAAAAGCCCTCCAAAAGGTCAGAATAACCTTACAGCTCACCTATTGTATGGTAAGCAATGTCAGGTGCAATATTTATTTATGGAAAGCACACTGTCTGCACACATTAAAGTGCAAATATGCCTTTCTCTGCATTCATACTCTAAATGATCTATGTCTGCTGCTCTTCAGGTCTGCACAGACCCCATCTATGCCACTGAACAGATCTGTGTTTTTAAGTGACCACAAAAAGATTGTGCTATTTATGGTTTATCTTCGGATATCAACAGTTGAACTAGGAAAACACTGAAGAAGCATGTTTAAGTATTGTATCACATCACATCATCAGGATGACTGTAACACATTTAGCTCTGACCAAGCAAATGTTATTGTTTCCATACAGGATAAATGCAACAAGTACAGAAACTTATTTATCATATTCTGTAGCTTACAACAGGCTTGCATCTTTGTGTCAAAAAAATGGGAAGTCCACTGAATGTTCTGACAACATTTGTTTGCCTCAGCCGTGTACGGATACACATCAGATGTGTAGGCATTACATGACTGTCAGTACGTATGTCATATATTGTCAAGATAAATATGGACATGGTTTGTGTATCATCCATGCTGAATGCAATAGAATAATTTTTCAGCACCCAACGTTTATTGCATTGATCAAATG